GACGGTTCGCCTTAGCCGCAACAGTTTAACAGAGTTGGAGTCGCTACAAAAGTAGGGAAGCGTGGACGAATTGCTGGTTTTCAGTGTCACGCCATTCAAAATAGATCAAAATAAAAATCAAAACCGTTCAATAGATAAAGTCCAGAATCTGGGAAATGAAAGGAGGTACATATACAAAGACCCTCGCCAAGATTCAGGTCAGAGGAATATTTCGTATACGAGATATCCGAAGAAATGTTTTACCCAAACTTACAGAAATTTGTATGGAGACGCCATGCTGGTGCTCACCTGGATGAGCTCCAACATGGCGGACGGAAACTAACAGAAACATCTGTTACCGGGTTTTGCTACAAAAGCGTGAATTTATTCTTCGAGAAACTCGTAAACATTAAAGTAATACTTTTTCTAATACACGAACTATTTAGATAGCAAAATTTCCCTGAAAAAAGTCATTTTTTCAACCTACATGACAGCTCTCTTGGCCGTCATGTAAATGCCGCGTCACGCAAAGCTTAGAAATTCAAGCGTACTCTATCACAAAACCAAAAACCCTTTTGAAGCGAAAATTTGTAGGAAAATTAGTTTTCAGCTGCTCTAATGCATCGTGAAAGTAAAATCTCGGCAGGATCGATGGTTTTTTAGTTTGAATTTTAGTGACGTCATGTGAAAACCAACAATTGGCTGCGAATAAAAATGCAGCTTCTTTAGCCCTGGAATTCCTGAATGCTGGCTGCCAAAAATTCACCTGGATATTTTGAAAGCTGATTTTGTGTAAAGGAACAAATGCGCTAGTCTCGGGACATGCTTTTGAGATCTCTGTTTGCTTAACACGTCTTCCAAAGCTACGCATTGAAGCTTTTACTGGCAAATTCAAACAGCATGTCAATAAAAACGACAAAACCCACAGCAGCTATTAAGCCGGAAATCAGGACCCCGAAAAAGGAGTTTCGTACAATGATCGGGTCAGAAAAGGTTTGATAGCGGATTTTGATAAAACAAGAGCTGCTGATCAATGTCAGGTAGTTAGGAGAGTTGAATTGTGGTATAGCTTACGAGTTAAGGGGCTATTTTAATAGGTCGCCCCTTTAAATTCATGGAAACGAGGCTAAGATAAATGACTATTGATAATGCGTAAATTAAACGTCAACAGAGGGCCACGGATAGGTGAGGGATGGAGAGAATCTTTTACTATTGCTAATGATAAAAGCACCGGCTCCGGAAAGTCTTTTCGAACTGACGACGTGCAAGTGCAATACATCTTCCTGCTTGTGAAACTGCTCCTGCAAAAACACAGGGATTGCTTGTACCGAAGGATGCTACTGCGTCGGGTGCCAGATGATGAACTATGCAAAAACCAAATTTTAATATAATAGGAGTTACCGAAACAAAAAATACTAAGATAAGTAAAATGAGGATTTAGGTCTGTCTAACATTCCTGAATATATTTTTGAACACGTTCCAACACCTCTAGCGTCTGGACGTGCTGACTTCCGGACTATATGATCTGTTGAGTGAAAATCAACGGAAAAAAAAAGTGGAACGAGTAATCCTTGCCATTTTTTTCGTTTTTGGAGGTAAGGGATATATTCGTTTGCAGAAAAAGATAAAGGGAGGCATGTTTTTTTTAAAAATTCATTAAACAGTGCTGTCGCCCGTTGCTTGATTGACACTTTTAACACCGAAATTACGTTCGGATTACTAGCCGACAAAGTGGGCGGAATGACCTTTTGAAAACAAATATCACAGGCGTTCCCGTGTCTCTCCCTCTCCCTCTTTTCCTATGTTTTTTGGCTCTCTTCCTTCGCGCCGCACTTCACTATCCGAGGAATTCTGATTTCTTCCTTCGCGCCGCACTTCACTATCCGAGGAATTCTGAATTCTGATGTTATTTAGTGTCAACATGTCACCAAATCCTATCTAACATCGACCGAAAATTGAAACCTAACCCGAACTCGGCTTCGGCTCCGAAAAAGCCTAAATAAAATATATCCCGGGATAGTGCTAATACCATCCCAGTTTTATTGCTGCCATTAGAATCTCAAACAGTTATTTTCTGGCTTTTCGACTTTCACCTAAGCAAGTTTAAAAATTTCAAGATAAAATAGTTCTACTTTTACAATCACGTGCCGCCTCATATTGATCCACTACAATATGGAAGCTTACTTTGATGAAAGAATCCGCCGATTTGCAAGAAAATGAAACTGGCTAATATCCAGAAACTCAGGAAGGGGACTTCAGGGCCGGAGATAAAATCCATAAAAATTCCCGGGAACTTAAGAACGTCAACTTGCTCATGTTAAAATGTGCTCTTTATTTATTCGTTTATCTATTTTTTCTTTATTGATTTATTTACCAAGGATGAAGACAAATACCATCAAAGTCGGTCGAGGTTTGTTTTTTTTTCTGACATAGATTATTTCTCTTTCTGCAGCCTATTTGGCACAAGTCTACGTTCAGATGGTTGAATATGCTATAAAAAAAAGCATTCACTAAAGTTATTTATTTTTTTGGAAAAAGCTCCACAAGTTTGTTGTGGAAGAAATAATGGGAAAGCTGCACTCCTTTCGAACACAAAGAACAACTGAATACATTGATGAAGAAATTAAAATGACAGAAAACCGCAAAACAAGTGAAGCATCGTAGCGGTGTCTCAATCTACTCACTCAGTCATATTAAGTGAAAGCCCCCTAAAGGGTTATGTCTTGGCGAATTATACGTTTTGGAAGACCGGGCAATACTTGATTCATGTTTGAATACTGGGGTGCTGCTTAGGGTTTGATAACCTACCCCTGTTGAGGAAAAATAGCCCTAAATACCTTATGCGTGTCGAAAGGATATCGGCCTCTAAATTTGAAACACTTTAAAGGACAACATTTACACGAAAAATGACCTAATCTTGACTAACGACCTGCTTAATTAATACCGATAAATGTCTCTGATTTCGGACTGCTAAATACTTGTACTCAACAACAATTTTACAGCTATTTCCTATCTAGAACGGGTCCAGAGTCTGATTAGCAGTGACTGACAGACTCACTTGAAATTATGCCCTGGTTCTGCATAGCAGAGAAAAAAAAACCCTTTCCAACGGCACGACCCGTACAAGCCCCAGTTTGGGGCCTGTAACCACGTGTTACTCAAGTTAAAGAATAAATTACATATGAATCCTTACCACTCTTTTCTCGTAATACGATCAGAAGAAATATACCAAGTGATTCTCTCAACAAGGAGTGAAGCATTTCGAGTTTTTAGTAGTTTATCCCACTACACATAAGTTAAACTTGAAAAGAAAGCCTAGTTGTAATCCATTTACGTCCTTGTTATCAGAAGCCAAAGACCCGCACTTATATATTTTTGTCATGTTTTTAATGCATTTAATTGATTTCCTTCTTTAGGGAAAGGAAATACAAAGGGCAAATGCCCAAGCCGGTATGACCAGAAAGAAAAAGAAAGTTGGTGCGCAGCGTGCAGGTGTGGTAGATTACTTCAAGATTTTATGGTCAGTTTTACTACCACGAGGTCGTTTTTATTTGTGAAACCTCTGTATATCCTTGAAGCTCCATTCACACGTCCAAAAAAAATCACTTGACATTTAAGACTTGCTCATAAAACTTGAACATAAACTTGGGCTGCTGATGGCAAGCTTGCAAAATGCAGGTAGTTTTAGGAAGCTAATTCTCAAGCAAGCAATTCTAAGTACTAAGCATTTCGCCAGTACAATAGACCTTGTCACGCTTTTCGACGCCATCTTGACGAGTAGGCAAAGGCGTGAGAAATTACAGTGTTTGTACGAGAATCCAATGTCGAATAATTTCCGTAAAACGGCTGATTGTTCTGGAAAAAATATGAACTGTAAACTAAAGCTACATAGCAAAGGATTTTACCAACAAATTTGGGTGGCCGCTACTGTGATTAAATTTCTCGAGAAGCTTGCTTTAGATTTTCCATATATTTGTCTACAATTTTTCCCGGGAAATTTTTACAGACAATTTTAAAAAAGGGTTCTAGGTCTTCTAACGCATGTAACGCCGTCAAATATTTTTCAATAGAATCTTTAAGAGTGACGCTTTATTTTACAGTTCATATATTTTTTTAAAAAGCCGTTTTGCGGAGATTATCCGCCATTAGATTCTAATAGTTTATTATTTATTTCCATTCCAAAAATCTCTAACGTGTCCTTTACTCGGAAGGAAAAACCATACTCCGTGTCACCGAGGATTAGACACTGGTGCTTGCTCTCATTAACTAACATCCCATTTTGATAGTACCACTGATTGGCCACGCCAGCATCATGAGATACGCATGCATCCAGAGTTTCCGAATCGACGTGGAGTAGTACACCTGATGATCATCCGCATAAGCCTTCAACTTGGCCTTCTTGACGTGGAAGAAAAGATCGTTTATGAAAATGTTGAATAGCATAAGAGATAGTTCCTAATTAGGGCACAACTTTAGTCGTTCATACCATAGGCCCTCAGTTTCGAAAGGAGGAGTGGATACTGAATAACATCAAATGCTTTGGAGAGATCCATAGAAACTACCACAACAAGCTCCCCCCTGTCACGCATCATTCTCCATTCCTCCGTCAACCTTAGCTAAGAGGTCTCGCAACTATAAAACTTTCTATAAGCGCTTATGCTTGTACTAACTAGATGAAGCTACCCTGTGTAACAATTGTGTGAAATAAGTGAGCAGGAATTAAGAGCATTCGTTACGATCGATGTTTTTATTGCAGATAGTAGTCCGGGGCGCAACGGTCTTCTGGGCGATAGAGTTATGTGACACTCATTCTTACGTGTGCATGTGTCTTGGATCTACAGCTTCCAACAAACAGTTTAGTTGTTGACTCTTCTGACACCTCCTATTCAGAAGAAGAAGGACCTCTTGCATCAGGCCTTACACCTCAGCGCTATCCTCGCCAAGGAGATCGACTGCCATCCGAGTCTCCATTACCTGAACGTCCCCTTCTTTGGTAAGATAGTGTACCTCCTCTCTCTCCAATGACATTTTCTCCAATAGAAGCTGATGTGGGAGGATTGTTAACGAAGGTAATCAATACGGTAGAAAGAACGTCAAATGAAGTCAGTATTTCTTCATTTTATGTACTCAGTGGTTCTAAGAAGTATAAAAAATATCCAGGCAAGGGTATATTTAGTACTCAGAGAATTTACTTGTACTATACCAACATATCTTCGCAGATTTTTCTTAAGAAGTGAGTAACGAACAGTTCAGAAGATGCAAACGTGTTAGAAAATTAGTGTTAGCGATAGTGGGTTATTAATATTTTACACGCACATATGTAAAATGCTTAGTATGTTATGAAGTGATAGGAATTAAGTCAAAAATAGAAAAAATTGTAATTTAGGTCAACATATCGAATTTGACGATGATTACGATAAGACGAGTTTATTTATCATGGTGTGAACTCAAGCTTCAATATGTAAAATGAAATTACTGTAGCTTTTTTCGTTTTGATACGGGATTATGCAAAAATATGTTGAACTCTTTTTGGCGGTCCTAATAGGCATACCAGACAAGTGAAAAGGAGACCGTTTCAGAGCTACGCCTATTAAGAGTCATCCTAGAAAGACTTGAATGCTCCTTTGCCAGGCAGGAGGCAAAACTGGATAAATTGCTAAACAGTCAGACCTCACCGTGCCTTGAACCCCCAGTTTTCCAGCGACAACAACGATCTTTAGCCACACCTTCTCCACACCTCAACGGACAGTCTACCCTCGCCGAGGTCGAAAAATTTCTTGAAGAGACAAGCACATCTGGTAAATATCTTACGGTTATATTTTTAATGTTCACATTGCAAAAGACAATATCCTGACTCTTAGGGAAAAATCAGAATTCAATATTTTTACTTACAATGACTTCAACGATCTTTTGTCAGACGGAGATTGTCCCTTAAAAATGACTCTGAGCAGCCTTTTAGAGCAACAGAGCACTTATGAATTATATGTTATGCTTTCCAAAATTCTTAACAATGATGAATGTCTTTTATTATACCATCCACTTTTAGAATGTGCTGCAATATTGACTGAAATCTCATTACTCCTTAGATTTGCCTGACTTAGTTGTCATTGGTGGCAACGTAAATGTTAAACTCTCCGGGGAGGACTACGAGTACGCCAGAGCGCCCACAAGCCCACGGTCCTGGCTCTTCGCCTAACAGACAAACTATTTTCCAAGGAGACGCTACTCAAGTCAACTGTCTCTGGCACGAAGGAGTTTCCGGCTCTGGACTTCAGCAAAATAGCCGCGATGATAGGTAAAGGCATTGAATAAAACTGTTTAATTATAGAATTTTAATGCTAAGACTGTTTGTACCCCTCAAAATTTTACCGTAAGGTCGTCAAGAGCAAACGCTGCAAGTCAAGATTAGAGATGTGTCTAGGCTATGAAAATTGCTAGTTGTCCGGTATTATTTAAAATTCGTCTGTTATTTAATGGTAGTGATATATTGTATACTGAGCTATTACGGTAACTTTTATCGTCCTCTTTATCTGCTCAACTAATGTTGGAAATTGAAAAAAAAAAACCTCCGGCTATTTCCACAGTTTTATGTAAAATTTGTGTATTACTCAATGGTAGTGATTCTTTATGGTACTGAGAACGGTACCTTTTGTGGTTCAGCTAGTCCATTTTTAATGAAAATAATTTCTTCTTCTTTGCAGCCGAGGTTTTAAAAGCATTTGCTTATCAGTGCCGCAATGACGAAGACAAACATCGGATGTGGGAAACGTGTAGAGTAAGCCTCGGAAAAAGGTGCCAGCTACCAAGAAAGAACCAGAAAACTCGAGAGGATTAAGTCAAGTTTTTAAGTTAAAGTCCAGTTTTTTTGAGTTTTCTTCGTAAGTTGCTGTGCTGCTCGGCTAAAAACCAGAACGTTAACACAGAAAAAAATAAGTCATAGTTTTTACATTGTAAGAATTTCAAAAAAGTTCTAAGCATCTGCAGTGCTGCTCGGCTTAAAACCATTGTATCTCTTGTAAATAAGCTCTTTGCTTTTTCAAAATTAAACTATTTTTGTATTGTATTGTATGGTCTTGATATTGTTGCATGAAGAAGAAAATTCTGTTAAATGGAGAATGTTTGTGAAATGATCTCTCATATAAGCGCAACAATGAATGGATATAGCCTCAGCTATTTTTATCTTTAAAAGAGCGAAAACTAGAAATAAATTTCTCTCTATGAGCCTTAATTACTTGTTATTCGCATGCTTGGTCATGTATCGCTTGTCACGCTCCAAAATATCACAAAGAATCGAAAAGATTAGATGCTAACATTCGTTTTTCTTTTTTTTTTTTTTTGTCAATTTTTTTTTTTTTTTTTTTTTTTGTCAACTCTTTGACTAGGGTAGGTTTAACGATTACCAACATACTTGACCTTTATCTTTATCTGCTCAACTAATGTTGAAAATTGAAAAAAATACTTGACCTTTCAAGACTTCGCTCTAAGCAATTACATGTACAAGTACAGCAAACGCAACAATCCGAACAAGGGTTTTCATTACAACCCGCTTCCATTTCCAGCGAAATTTGGCTTTGTGGAAATATCGCCAATGCGAATTTTCGCGGGTGCGAATTTTCGTTATGGCGAAATTTCGAAATTTCGCTTCAGTGGATGCGAAATTTTGCCAAGATAACAGCGAAATTTCGGTTGACTCAAAGTAATTCGCGAGCGCGTCGACGAAAATTCGCGGCGAAATTTCGTGGGGCTTATTTGAGAGGGGGAGCTTAATAGAGGATTTACGGTATTTGATTTTGTTTTATTGAAGGCCACAAGTTTATTAGTTTTATCATAACTGGCACGTGTTTACCCTCTTTAAATAAAGGCGTTACCTTACCTTACCAAGAGAGGATAAAGCTTTATACTCTCTTGATGTTACCTTACCTTATAATTACCTAACAAGACGTTACTGGCGTAATTCTCTCTCTGTCTCTGTTCCTGTCTCTCCCTCTGTGAGTCTCCCTTTCGCACATCCAAACAACCAAACACAAGAACACACAGTTTAGAAACAGGGATAAACACGTAAAGTGGAAAGACATATAATACAGTTACTTAATGATAAATAAAAATATAATAAACAAATCGAAAAAGCTTCAGGAGGTTTACTGATCAGATGTTTACATGTAATACACTATATGGGAGCTGAAGCGATATTGGGAAAACCACAACGACGGATGGAGTAGAAATGTTCTTCAGTCGGTAGAATAAGCACTGGGTAATGCGGGATATTGTTTTCATATCAGGAAGTGAAGCTCAACATCGTTGAGCGATGTAAATTGAACACGAAAATCGATAAATGCAGAGGAAGTGAGAACAAAAAGATTGCAGATAGAAGTGGTTGCGTATAACCATAATTTTTCTTGGATTTCTTGGATCTTGCTCGTAGTAGTTTCCTCACCGACTTCTCTAGGTGTTTAGAGAAACCACCCAGTTCGTCAATTAGTACGTTGTTCTGTTCAACCCTGTAACCACTGTATCTCTGCTTCAGCTCACTCATCATGGGCCCATACTTAAGTGTCTTTTCCTCATCTTTCTCGGCTCTACTTTCAATCCATGGGCAGCTCATGATCATTTCAATTGTGCAGACTTCTTTCCTCTCGTGGCTGACAATTCGCGCGTCGATCTGATTTGGCCTAACTCTAATTATTATTATTATTATTATTATTATTATTATTATTATTATTATACTTAGGTTTAGGAATAGGGCCAGCAGTAGTGTAATTGAAGTTAATAGCAACAGCAGTAGCAAAAAGACCGATCAACACACGGCTGAAGAGAGATACTCTTGTTTCCAGGACACTTGATGTGTAGATGCGCAATGAAGCAAAGTCGGTGAAGGATTTTGCCCAAGCTACATACACGGCTCTGCCTTTTTTATTGAGTTTAATTTCTATCTGTAACTATGAAGTGTCGGTATTAAAAAAAAATCACGTAAACGGTAATAAATTTTTCCCTTCCCTCACTCGTACCTGACTGATTTGTCGATTGTTCAAATTTTCATCTTCTACATAAAAATAATGTTGTCACATCGATAAATTCAATTTCAACAGAAATCTGTTCTAAGACTCATCAATACATAATCCAACTGTTTGTGAGTAACATATAATATCAGCAATTAACTGCAAATTTGAGCATACAATTTAAATCAATGAAATAGACAAAAAACACGTTTAATCAGCCTATGCTATGATTTTCTACTATCATTCTGGGTAATATTCTATCCATCATTTTTTGGCTGCCAAGGTGACCCTTCTTTTTACAGTTTGTACAATTTAAACCAGTTAAAACTTGGGCATTTAACTTTTATCAATTATTGGATGAGGTTTTTGTGATATCCGGAATATTCAAGGTCGCGGTAAGGGTTATCAGCCGAACCGAAGGCTGAGGCTAATAATACTTACCGAGAGCTTAATTATTTAGGATATCACAAAAACCGAACAAAATGACTTTTTTATTATACATTGTTTTGAAGAAAATAACGACAAACACACCGTCGCAAGGAACCTGAATTGATATTGTTTTTGGAAATCTGGCACGCAAGCTACAGATTAGTCAGTTATCTGCTAGCAGATAACTAACTAATCTGTAGGTTGCGAGTGCAATTTGAAATTAGCTGTAGGCTCTTAGCCAATGAGGAGACAAATAGTGAGTACAATGTTTAAAAAGACGGTTATCACGTTTCTCCCCAAAATGACGGGTTCACACAAGAGCCCTACTTAGTACTTGCTGAGAACATCTCCTCCTTGTAGTCAATCTCGTCTCAGAATCGAAAGCTCTCTAATGTTAAGGGAAAAATCCGAAAAAGAAGGAGTCGTGTTAGTGAAAGTCGAGATAGGTCTAAAATTTTTCCCTGGTATCTCCTTGCAAGAATTTTATTCCTCCGAGATCAGTCTGCAGGAAATTTTTATTTATTTTTTTTTAATTAACCATACCCCCCCCCCCCCCCCCCACCACCCCACCCTCCCCCCCTCCCCCACATACCACCCCCACAACAAATTTGAA